TATTCAATAAACTTGCATTCTGCAAAAATTTAACATGAGAAGTACGTGTGCGTGAGTCAAGCAATACATTGTGATAGTTGTCGCAAATACGCCTCCGTTTCAAAAGTTTACAAATCCATTTGATTGCGTTGTGGGAATTCGCCCAACCGAATACGACCGTTTGGTGGGTCATGGCTTCATTTTCATTGTCCACCAAATGCTCCATTGAAATGATGTGGAAGCTGACAGACCTTCAGCAAAGACATATTTTTACCAAATTTATGGTTTCTATGAAAAGGAGGTCCTTTGCGGCCGATTTTTCCTCCCCCTCCCCCTTCTCCTCATTCTTCTTTCTATCGTCATCTTCTGATGGGACTCCTTGTGAACCGAAAATGATTTTTCATTTATTTGGCCCTAATTATTTCAAACCGTTTTTTGATAGATGTTTCAAATAAATTTGTGTTTTTGGCCAACTAAAATCCTTTTTACATTTTCACATCGGCTGCTGAATGAAATAGCACTGCGATGCAGCCATGGAAACTGTGAGCATGGCAGCGTTCAGCATTCTCCCTGATATCTAATTTTTTTTAATTTTACCGCATTTTAATTAATTATAACCAAAAATTCTACGTTGGCAAGATAAAACCCCAACAATATGACATTTTAATCACTTATGGAGTTAAGCATAAATCATGGCGATTTCCTACTTACCGGTACCAGATTTTATCTTTGCCGATTTGTCTGGTTGATTTCAGTTGTGTTATTTTTCCTTAAGAGGCTAATATGGCAAAAAAACACGGCAACACCACAGACAATTCTTCCATGCTTGAAGTAGTCAGTCTTGTGGAATTTTAACTCAACAAATATTAACAGTACAAGGTCATTTTGAGAGGTGATTAATACAATTTGATCCGAAAGTCTCCCACTAATGCACAATTCTGGATGAAATTTTGTATCTTTGTGGTGAATAACCAATCAGAAGGGACCTGATTTTGTGGAGAAGTGTGTTTCAGCCTTTTCGAATGCAAACGTCCGATAATGCATTCCCTCATTCACACAGTCAATGGTATTTCTAAGTAAAAAGTCTCCTTTAAGGCTTCTGGTAGTATTTGTTAGCTAGCGGTTTTTCAAGGTAGGTGATTAAGGCAATGAGCAGTTTATATTGTGAACTGTATTTCAACATTTGTGCTGGAAATATCTACTACTAGTCAGGTAAGAAATGGATCCAGATTCTGCGTTCAAATAAAGGCAAATTGTTCACTATCACGACGAATTTAAGTAGTTTCAGCATGTTACGAGAATATTTTATCCAAATGAATGAGTCCACCCAAATTGTCGTCAATTTCGACTTCCAGGAGGGTTTAAAAGTATCAATTTTGAATAATTAAGCCCTCTGTTTGTCGCATTTGAAGACACCACCATAGTTATCAATTCAACTTCGCAATTCAACGATGAATTGGATTTCATTTTATCTCCCTGTCTCAATTTGCTCCATGCTGCCACCAGGAACCACACATAGTAATGCAAGTTGCCGTGACCAATTGGGAAATAAATCAGCCACCAGAACATCCAGTTGTCCTTAAAAATATGCTCGCATTTCACCGTCACAATCATGCAAAACAAAGTTGATAAAAATTTGAAAGCAATTTTAGTTGTTTTTATTGAGACATGATACAACTGATTCGAACACCTTGTTTTATTTAATCAGCACGGTGTAATGATTTTTAAAGTCAGATTAAATCGACAATACGAATTTTGCATTCATCTAAAGATCTCACCATGAGTTACATGTGGTAGTTTTTAATCGAAAATTCGGTGTACACTTCTCAAAGACTCCTGATTCCCGTTAAGTGGCCTCAAAAGCCAGCTGGGATGAAGGTGTAGTGTGGTAAACAATTAACTCACGAATCAGAATCTGTGAGTTTGCTGAATTAGCTTAGAGGTGATGACAGCAATTCATCTGCCTACCGCAAAGTCGTCATAAACTGACGCTGAAGGTGCGAGCGTCTTCCTCACTCACAAACTTGTTTGATCAGCAGGGCAACGCTTGAAATGAAAACGTTTGCATCCAAGCAGAGTTAATGCCGAACACTACTCTGTCTTTCCCACCGCGCCCCTCCCCCCACACAAAGGGTTAATCTAACTTGTTTCATAAAGTAAAGAACTTTAACTTGGATTGGCAATTACCTTAAATCTGTCGTTAATAGTGAACCACGTTGTGTTATCAGGAGGTCGCAAAGCCAACTGACAATCGTGGTAGGCCACACGCTCACTGTTTCCTCAAGGAGTCTCAACCTCGTGTTGTATACAAATTGGCAAATGAGGAGTTCCTTAGGCACATGCAACTTAATTAGATGGCAATTTAATAGGGCTGTCTGACAGCCCCATTTGTCACGACTGTCGACGGTGGGGGTAGTCGTGTGACACTTTTCCGGTTTTCCCTCTAGCACTTTGCTAGACACAAAAGCAAAGTGCTGCGTGGTGACAGGTAGCAGGCTGACGGCTTCAAACGGCGGACAAAATTAATTGGCGCGAGAAAAACCTTCAGCTCGGCTGCACGGGCTTCGCCATTATGTTAAATCTGTCTAGGCCTTCCAGCTTCCTAACTCGTCCGCGACTGAACTATCCACAAAGGGTGCCACTTCGACGTGATAAATTTGCTCACTTCCCGAAGCCAATAAAAGTTGACTAGATTTTGTTCACTTGCTGCTGCTGCTGCTGCTGCCTCAGTGATGTATTTGTGCTACAATGCGATAAAATCAGTATCAAGTAGTCATTTGACAATCTTGCGGTTGGGTTAATTAAGCAACGAGAGAGCTTTTGAACCAGGAACCCTATAATGTGGGGTTGAGGAATTTCTCAGGGTGTCGCGAAATTGATTCAAACTTTGTTCCACTTCAGATAGTTTAAACGGGCTGTCAGAATGAAAAAAGGTAAATTTTGATGCTTGTTGCTCCAATGGGCCAGTAAACTGTTAGTTTTCAGGGTTATAAAGTGGTACATTAAACAGTTAGATAGAAGAGTCACATAGCCACCAAGATTGCACTTTTATTAGTTATAGCCACATTTTCTGGGTGCACCAAGTACTAACTGCAATAACTTATTCTTCCACCAAATATTCAACAATGAAACTGACCAGTTTAATTTTCAAAATAGGTGATTTGTGAAAAGAGATTTCATGTAACTTATATCCTAAAATATGCGTGATGGTCATTTAAAAATTCATGTTTAAAAAAATTGAAATCAACGAATAAGAATATGCTCATTCGTGAAACTAGCTCTTGTTGAGATTGGAGTGAGATACAAATTGTTGGAAATACCACGTGAAACATATACAAGGAATCACTGAACATCAATTTTGCACTGTACTGATGCATTCTTCTCAAAAAAATAGGGAAACTGCATTAAATGAGGGATTTGAATCATTTTTCTTACAACTTGTTTTACTGAACTGGCAGCATTCAAGCCTTGTCCGTAGGCACAAAATTTGAATGCAAATGCGAGAAGTGGCCACGGCAGGCAAGAACCAGTCCCACTGTCAAGCTCGGTGTGGACATTATTACTCAGACAGCATGCAGACCAACTGAGCCGGTCTGTGCGTCAAATCGACAGTCAATTTTAACCAGCATGTTATAAAGTGCATCGTAATAACCGTGCCTTTATCAGATGCATTTCAAATATTATTACATTTTGATTCATAACGTGTGAGCTGATTTTTTAGGCAAATTAAATCATTTTTGAAAAACGCCAGGGTTAATAATTATTTAATAACTCGAAGCACTTCAACTTTTGAATTATTAAGCAACGTAAAGGAGCGTTTAAATGCAACACGCTCCAAACAACCTAAAGGCAGGAACTTAGTTCGTGATTGTGGATTTTGCACTGAACTTCTTTCCCAATTATGTCATGAAACATACTCTAAGTGTTTTTTGAAACTGTAGTCATCTGTTGGTGCATAAAGGCACTGCTTTTCACCCAACTTTGGTTTCCTCTTCACCAGGTGACTTGGACTTTGAACCAGTCAGGCAGAAAGACGGTTTCGCTTGGAAGGCTTGTCCATACGCTTCATTCTATGTGAGAGCTGCGGTCACACAGTCGACCACCGGTAGGGTGCAATTAGCATCCGGTGTCACTAGAGAGTTGGATCAGTGCTCAATCTACGCAATGATTCATAATGCAGGACGGTGAATCCTAAATGCTGGACAAAATAGACTAAATTTAGGAAGCGCTGCCTTCCAAGTATCAGTGGTCGTGCAAATATGCATTTCGCTGGCTGCTGCTACCTTTTTTGGATGGCCTCTGTGTCTTAGTGAACCCGGTTATTTTGTGCTCTAAAGTAGTGTTCGAGGAATTCACGTGGAGGCAAAACTTTCAATTGAAATACATTTGTACCGAATTAGAGAGCCCACAGGTACTGTATTGACCACCAATTGTGCTGGCTACTGTTTTATTTGCATGACAATAGAGACGATTGGCGTCACTGAAGTTGTCGCTTAACCAGCCGGCCGTCAGCCATCGTCCGGCCGATCGATGTTCACGTCCATCTCGTCGTCGTGTTCAGAGAGCATGGAGTGCACGAATCCCCAGACGATCTAATCGTCAAAAGCTGTCAGTCCCACATCGACCACCCTGTTGGCATTGCCTCTCCCACCCACAACTGCGTAGTTGTCTTATCTTCCTTGGCATCTGACCTCCATTGGTTAGGAAGGCAGACAATTTGGTTGAGCTGCCCAGTGGACGGTCGAGTTCCCATTGGCGCAGACAGTCTCATCTGCATATCGTACCATTGCCTCACTGAACAGGTTCGAGTCTAATATCGGGATCACAACAACGGGGAACCCCAATATGTAGAGCCCTTTTATCAAGTTAACTACAGAGCGTATTAGCAGGTTACATTTAACTATAGTTCGGTAGAAAAGAACAACAGAAGGAGGTGCAGATGTTGTGTTCTCTGAACGATGAAGATACAAGTAAACGGTGATTGCGTAAGCGATATGTACACAAATGCAGAATGGGTTGTTCTAGGAGCTGAAACCAGTGGGCAGGAAGCCAGCTCGAACCAGATCCTCCACTGTGGACGGTAGTTCACAGAGAACAGTAATGCTGGAATCACAGTCAACAGAAACCTGAGTCCACAAGTCGGGCAATTTGTAGTGGCTGTCCGCTTTCTCGTACCGGCGGCGACGTTTCCGCACGGGCAGTCTAGAAAAAGATGAGAAAACACACAAAAAAGAGTCGTTTTATTTCGCACGCGGAGCTGGCATTTCGAGCGCCCACTCAAACAAAAGACCCCAACGAACGTGCCGTGCCTCGTCCCGGATTGGGGCGAACTCCACAGTCAGCACACAAAAGGCATCGCTACACTCACTGCGGGCTGAATTGGGGTTTTTGGTGGCGCAGTTGCCTGCTGACGCAAATGAGTCTCGCTACATAATGGGCCGATAATACAAAAAAAGAAGTGAACTACGGTACAACACTTGGGGAGTTTGCGGGAAGTAAATGGGTTAGTAAAAATAAGGACCGATAACACGCTCAAACGTACCCGTGGCTATCGTCTTCGACAGGTAATCCTCGTTTTATGGCTGCGGGAATCGACAGATCGCGGAGTCTTTTCGGGGGACTATCAATTTCGCCTATCTTGAATCTGAAATGTTTGTGCAAAAGATGAGTTTAATTTTTGCACAAAAAGCGCCAAATTGCATGCACTCCACTGATGACAACCTAGAACGTCTCGACCACTCCGACAAGACTGCATTGCATCAAGTCGTGTGTCAGCGAGTTCTGCAACACGAGGTCACTATCGAGAGGGTTGCGATCGAATGCGTGAGTCAACCACCGCCACATGCCAGATCTACACACCGAATTATCGTTGGTGTGACCCGGAGCTATCGACGAGGCCACATTAGCCGAAACAGCCATGGCTGTCTGTGGGAGGTTAAAAATTGAACACTAATGTAGTGCTTTGGGCAAAAAAGGCACATGTGAGACCGGGAACTCAGTTCTTGCTTGAAAGCAAGTTAAAAAGCGGGAGCACAAACGCCGCCATTACGCGCGACGACAGATGCACGAGAGAGTGGAGCGTTTGAAGTGCTCGGAGAAGTAAAATGGGTCTCGACAGACATTTTAACCGAAAACACGTCGTGCGCAGCAAAATCTTGCTCGTCTGCCAGCAGGCGTTGTTTGCGCATGTTACACCCCCAGTCGCTTAACGGCTGATTGCACCCAGACAACACAATACGCAGACGGGGCCGTATCACACCGCTACTACCTGGGCCTCGCGAACTGTCTAGCGCCTTGACAATTACCTTGTCGAGGCGGTGAGTAGGAATGCGGAAAGTTGATTAAACGCTGTAACCCCTTGACAAAAACAATCGATTTCGCGGGAGCGTTCTGACTGGCTCTGGTGTTTGACTGTGTCCAATCGCATTAGCACAGGACCCCACACTGATTGGCCGGTGGCTTATTAAGAGAGCAAGTTCCACAGACTACAATTTCCTTCTCTCAGGAGGTCTCCTCAGTGTTGCAGCGTCAAATTGGCGTGTCTGTGGTCGTGTGTTCTTTAGTGCTCAAGTGTCAGGTCTTCACGCTAGCTCCCATGCCCTTCCACTTGCCCACGAATTCGCCAAGGCGTCAATTCCAATCACCGACGCCACGGCCTCAACGAACGCACAAAATGACACAGGGGCTAAAAAACACCCGTCGCATTGACCAACACTGCTAGCCTGTACTTGTTCGTGACTTGCAAGGGAAGGCGAACATGCATTGGTTTGCCTTCACGAAACCGTGGAAATGCACGCCCTAAAGAAAGCACGTCTTTTTCTCAAGAAAATAACACTATCGTTACTCGTGTTTACCGGAACTGGAAACTATTCGTCGTGTTTGGGCGAGAAATGGCGGTTTGTTGGACCGGCGGCAGCCAACTACAAAACACAGGCTGTCGCCTTTCTGGATGTGCTCAAAACGCTGTGTGTGGGGGTCGGTGTGTCCTAAACCTAGGCTTGTGACCAACTCTGCGGCCGGCATTAAGCTAAAATGCATTATGTGTGGCTGTAAACACGTGATTGGCTTTGTTTTTTTTCCGGAAATGAGTCAAGCAGACTCATTGGACGATGTTCTCGCACGACATTCGATAAGAATCTGGAAGCCTGGATGACACAGATAAGGCAGCGGCAGTGGCATTAGACGCACCAAATGAAGCCTCTCTTTAAGCTGCACGACGCGAAATTGACTTACATGTGCTCCCTCAGTATGGCAAGCGAGCGATCGACAATGGAGCTGGCGGACATGCTGGAGATCAAACAGGGCCACAGGAAGAGGGCGAAACACCGCAGAATGAAAATGCGGTGCTTTGGGTTCGACCACAGCGCGGCAACGTCGGGTCGTTCCGAGATAACCTGCTTGAGTTCTACAATTGACGAAACAGGAGAAGACAGTGGTAGGATGAGGGCGAGACTGTAGATGGCAAGATGATGCCTGGACGGCTGATAATCTATGCGCAATGTACAAATTATGGGTGGACGAAATTGCGTGGACTACAGGCGGAACAACAATGCTTGCAGTGACTCGTTGCCGAGGTGGCCAGCTATTCAAATTCACGTGACCGCGCTGGCTCGTCAATCGAGTCCACCGCACTGACTCTGAATCGGTGTTTTCCGTTTCAATGCCCTGTGGAAGTCTATTTGGCAGGCGAGACGAGCGCAGGGAACTCGCATGTCGACACACAGGCGCACCCAAATCAGTTAACTCGTGTGACCAGTCATCCCCGATGGACGGAGGGAGAATGCAGGCATTATGCGACTTTAAAGCCCGTGACACAGCCTGTTGGCATTAAATGCTTTAGAGCTAATAGAGGGGCGTTTTAGCGTGCCCACTCACACACCCAAGCGGCCAATAAAGACGACATATGGGGCGAGTAACCGCTAATTCAATACCAAACCTCGCCCAGTACCATCGAGGGTACTGATGTAGTTTTTTTGCCCTGTGTGTGTGTGTGTAGCTAATACAAAATGCCCAAGTCCAGACTTACGACCAATGGGAGGCAGAGTGACATTGTCCACAGAGGATCTGTTGAAGAAGTTGCAGGATTTCCTAGTGGCGAAAAAAACGAGAAACACGTAAGAATCACGAGGTCTGAGCAGACATGGACAATTTAGACAAGGACATAATAAAAAAAAACTCGTTTTGGGGTCGCTCAAACAGCCATCCACGTATTTGGACCTGAAAACACCTCCATACTAGCTGTTTCTAGGATATCAGGCTCGGGTTTTCACACGGCAGACTAAATGGACACTGCCAAGACATAAGTTGGTATCGAATTTGGGGAAAAAACCATTTGTTTTTTGGTGAGAGGGTTATGACGCTCTGCAGAGGAGGGCTGTGTGACGAGAGGGTCAAGCTGACGGCAGTTGCCAACCCCGTGAGTCACACCACTCACGGCGTCTTCTTGTTTCGTGCAAACACGTCAACACACACAACAAGACGGAATGACTGTAAACACCGACGCTGTCAATCCTTTGCCCGAACGACCCCCCACACCCCCATCCAACGCTCTGCAAGTGACAACTTGGCGTAGCCAAGACAATGAGGCACACACACACACACCTGCAGTGGAGAATGCGGGACATGTGTGCGCCGGTTGTGTTGCGCAGCTCGGGGAAGTTCAGCAGCAGCGACTTCAGCGCAATGATTGTGGCGTAGTTTGGTGGCATGAGTTGGACACCGGCGGCGTCAGGTTCGAGGAGAACGAGGGGACCCTCGGCGTGCCTCTGCGACGGTGCACGCGCCACGCCCAGACACTTGGAGGCCATGGCGGTGGCGGGTCCGACCACCCAATCAGACGGCGAGTCGGTTAGTTGGTCCAATACGGTGTGCGGGAGACAGGAGAGGAATGGCGCATTGGACGGGCCAGGCTAGAAACAAAGTAACGCCTACTTATGAGCAAAAGAGTAGTGTGTATTGCGTGAACACGGATGTCGTGACTCGTGGCTGCCACGTTACATGAATGCAGCCATCAGACAATGTCACCAACCTCAGAACGACCAGCTTCAGTGATAGGCAGGGTCCATGGAGTTTTCAGCGAACCCGATCTTATGCTCGGCAGTCGTGACTTGAGCAGGAGCTGTCGAATTCGCAAGAGACGCTGGAGTTTTTCGCTGGAAATGCTTTTTGTGCTGGGAGGCTGTGACTTTTGCTGCAGGGGCAAATTCTCGTTATCGTCTTGCTGAGCAAAGAAGAGCATGTCTCCAGCTAATTCTGGCGCGATCTGTCAAAACACAAAGAGTAGGATTTGGACTTTGACGAAGTTTTACGTGCTTCTGACCAAACCCAAACACAATATCGACCAATCAGCGGATAGGGCATGCACAACCACAAAAAAACTAAGGCGTAGACCTTTGCTCCAAGAATTTAACTTCATAACCCACTCGAATAAGGCAAAGCAGGCAGTCAACAAGACGATTAAGTGGGAACACGCTGTAGTGGACTAGAATTGGACATCTCGTCAGTCAGTGGACGGAATCCTTCCTATTTAATCAAAATCAATAATAGTTTGCTGCAGGGTCAGCTGGACTGACATGAATTTAAATTGCTTTGCTTACCAACTCTAATGCCCTGGAATTGTTCCCGCTGTAGGCCGCAGAGGCCGTCTCATTGCTGCTGAGTGCACGCTCAAAAGTTCGCGCGAAGAAGTCCCTCTCACTTAACAGTCGTTCTCCGGCCGTCTGAAGGCAATTTTGTGCATCCAAGCCTACTTTGGGGTAGGATGGCTTGACCTTTCGCTTGCCCACACCCCGATCCAGATCGAAGCTGGGGATCTCGGGCACGGGCTGGTTCATCCGACGCGCTATTTCGGCGGACAGGAGAGAGAAGAGGGCAGGCTTCAACTAAAATTCCCACCGTATACACACACACTGTGAGACGGAAGGTTGCCAATGCCGCTTGCAAATACCAATAAACATTTGGCAGGTTGGGACCCGATTATTAAGACATTTGTTTGGGTCAAGGGTTCCTTGCGGTGCAACTGACTACTTATTTCTTCATAAGTTGCAATGTAAATGGCAAAACGCACCTGAGAATTGTTGATGAGTCGGGCGACTCCAAACACGCCCAGTGACGTGATTGGTGCTGATGAGGACTCTGCAGCTACCGATGCAACACTGGGGGTCGTCGCAGGCAAAACCTCGGATTTGGGTGGCAAAAGGAGACCCTCTTCCAGGTCAAGCAGAAGCTGAGTAAATTCGTGATGCATTTCTTGTTTGAAGCTATTTTTCTGTCCAGGCAGCGGCTGATAAGGCTGGCGTGGTTTCCAAGCCAGCAGCTGCAAAAGTGTGTGCACTCTTCAACAATTAATTTCAGCGCCCGTCATTTTAGTGGTGCCTTAAGGACAGTAAGTTTTGCAAGGCAGCAAAACTAACGGCTATGACATATACCACCCATTCCCATGCTAAAGGAATAAGATTGTCCAATCAAACTCGGGCTACGGCAGTTAGAGAAGAGGACCGAAGCTACCTCGTGGGGTTCCGTGACTCACGAAAGGCCATAAATTCAATACAATTGGCGAGCACAAGACTTGAGGCACCAGGAGACATGGCAAACGTACCCTGGAAAACGCGTATTCCTCGGGATTGGAGATGCCCATCTGTTGAAGCTCCTTCACCCACTCGCCAAGGACAGTTCGAGGACCAAATAAATGACACCGAACCTGCTCAAATTCGGTAGAGTTGAAGAAGGCACCGGTGACAGCGCTGTGGTCTGGGAACCTGCGAGAGCGTTTTAGCACACTCGCTAGCGTCTTACAATCCCTGAAGCGATTCAACAGAGCAGACATTGAGCGGCCAGGGAAGTAGGGGAGGATGGCGATGGTGATAACTAAAGAAAAGGGAGGTGTGTCAGTTGTTCAAGTTGCGATCAGTGGTGGTGGACACAGGAACCCTACATGGACCGGTGCCTTTGTGCGTGGTTTCGGAGACTCGCGTGCCAAATTGAAAAAGGCGCCGCGTTTCTTCATACGTCCAGGGCTGGAACTTTTCGCACAGCTCGTTGTGGCGCAGCTCGCACTCCTTCGCTGTCCGCTGACCGCCCGGCAACTCGGCCGCAATGACCGACCACGTGCCGCAGTTGCCGGGGTTTTCGCCGGCGTTGCCCCAGCCATAGAGGCCACCGCCAGTGCCGAGGCGTTGAATGGCCATCAGAAGGGACAGATCCTCCTCGGGGGAGAACTTCAGGGCCGACGACTGCTGCGAGCATCTCAGCTCTGCATACCGCTGCTTGCACGACTTGGTCGAACGCGTCTGCAGACGGGCGCTGACAACACCCCAATCCACCAAACTGAGAGCCTTGCACTCGTGCTGAATTTCGTCATCAACAATCAATTTTAAGGCGTCGTCTTCCTCTGAACTCCAAGGTGCTCGCTAAAAAGATCACATTTGAAAGTAGAAAATGCACAAAAAATACAACGAGGACTGAAGAACAGGGGCACAACTCACAGATGGGTGCTGGGGGTTAAGGTACTTGTGCCAGGCCTTAAAACAGGCGAACGCCGTCCGACCGTCATTCAAATGCCCAGCGATTTCCTGCCATTTTCCGTGAGACCCGAACACATTCACGGCCGATGCCAACTTCGAAAGCTCGTCCGCTGTCCACAGACCGCGGCCTGTTGCTGGGCGCAACCTGTGGAGCCAATAGAGTCGACAGAAAGTAGCAGACTTGACGCCTTTGAGCTGAAAAACAATCGGCCGAATTAAAACAGTTGGAAAACGTTCGACAGCCATTCACATTCAGTACACATCGACGCTTACCACATGCACAGAAATGTAATTCCAGTCATTGTCTGTGAGGACGTTGTGGGCATTGTTGAAAATTGAAATCCACTCAACCATGGAAATATTGGGCCCCCTCGACTCTGTCTGCTTGACACCAATTGCCAATTGGTCAAACTTGTTGCCCCAGTGGGATGTCTCATTAATCGTTGTGGAAAGCGAAGCAATGCAGTTCACAAGCTGCTTAGGCAAAGCAGTTGGAAGTATGTACTTTGAGTGATCGAGCTGTTTCTCAGTAGATTGTAATTCTTTAAATATCTGCTGGCGTTCAGAAAAACTCTTCTCTACGTGGGTTAGTGACTCCGTGAGTGTTTCAATTTGACTAGTAAGTTTCCTCTGTAGAGATAGTCGGTAACAATCAACCAAAGCAAGAAGAAGTTTTATTGTTTCAGATTGTGTTACTAAAAGCAACAGAAAACCGTAAAAATAAAGTTGCTAGAGCAAACGAGAGTGCCAAGCAGAAAAAATACTTACACCTATTGAGTGTGGTATTCAAATCATCGGCAACATTAGTTTCTTTCAATTTGAGGCGTGTTTGTGCATCTTCATTCATTGGTGGACACTAAAATGTCATTACCGAAAGGCAAACATACATCATAAGAAGCGGTACGAAAAAATGGTCGACAAATTGAGTTTATCTTCGGAGTCGTATACGTCGAGTCAGTCAACTTTCCAGAAACAAGAGGTTCGGCCTAGTCATAATTACATAGTAAAAAACTTCATACTTCTTTGCGAAGCTCTGCTATCTCTGAATCAATAGAGGAGATGGCCTCCTTAATCAAGTTTTGAGCTGCTTCATTTAGGACCAAACATCTATTTGCTGCAGCCCTCTCAACCACCTTGGTTCCATTGACAACCCAATCGGGATTCAAATCCATCAATTTAGCAAAGCAATGTGAAAATAGGCGCAAAACTACTTAATGTAGAGACACACCTTAATACAACCAATAGGTGAATACCTTTAAAAATAAACCATTCACAAGTAAGCCTTTTAAATGAGCCACATTTCGAGCTAGTCTAAACCACCTTTTGACAAGGTCAAGTGCTAGTAGGAGCTCGTGCAAAGGCAATTTCAGAAGACAGGTATGATTTTCTAATCAGTACATTTCAAGTAGTGTCATAGCTGCTATTATTCATAATTTTTGGTAGCAGTTGCATGAAATTAAAAAATTAGTGTAAAGAAGGTGAGCGGACAGATTACCAATGGCTTATTTGATTTGGGCAGAATTAATTAGCAGAAGACACAAAAAATTACTACATATCGTCGAATGGTGAAACCAGAGGAGACATTTGAAGCGCGTACCACAATAAGAAGGACATGGTATCCGCTATGATACTGATAAATATGAAGAGGCGAAGAAGAGGAAGTTAGTAACTTTTTTATATGTAAAGATATCAATTTTTCATGAACACTGCCCATAGAGAAAATGTCTAATCTTAATGTGTTCCATATTCATCTAACGAGTCACCGACAAAACTTTGTCAATTGTTTGTAAGTCATTTTTTTAAAAATAACATACTAGGTCTTTCACATAAGAATAATTACAGCTGTAGGAATGCTCTATAATGTGGATAATTATATCATAGTAGGCAACTTACAAACCTGTTTCTTTGAATTTGTAAAAGGTGAAATTCATTCACTAAATAGCATGTTATCACTTTATCACTTCTGTAAATTAACCAGATCAATATAGTTTGAAAATTCCACCCATTAAGTGGATGTTAAAATGTCGGCTGCAACAACTTCAGTAAATTTATTTAGAGATGTATTAAGATCCTACGCAGATAAACGCCATCATGCTTGTTAAAAAGGAAAAAGCATGGCTTTTTTGCTAAGTATACTCCGAGGTATACGACAACATGGTGAAGAGAGTTTTAAACTTTTAATTAACCTATAAGCAGTCAGGGGACAAATTCGAGAAAATTTTGCATTATTTAGCAGACACAACCATGATCAATGGCAAAGTTCTAAATTAAAACGGCGCCTGATCCATTAGAGGTTTTATTGTGTAGAGATTTCTTTTAAGAATGACATTCAATACAATAATCGTAGCCCTTAATTCAGACCTTAGAACTTAAAACAGTAGGTGAGAATAGCAATTTTTATTCAAATCGAATTTCATTTTCGGAGTCAATATTTGTTTTCCTGAGCATTGAAAATATCTACGAGGGTAGATTATACTAAAAGAAGCACAAACAACAGTGATATGGTATTTTACATGTCCAAATTGCAGAGACAAAAATTATGTTGGCTGACGAGCCTCGCTGCTTCAAATTCACGTTAAATATAAGTGACGCCGATAAAAGTATTCTGGGAACTTGTGGAACACATACCAGCAGTCAATGCAATTTTTATTTTCATAGCCTGGCTTTACTGGCGATTCCTGCTAAACCAGTAAAAAATCTACTTCTGATTGTTTTTTTTCCAGAAGATCGATTAAAGAATGGAAAAAGAGCAGTCATATACAATTTAACAAAAATTACAACATTTATTTTAAAAGCGCTAATTGATTTTAAGACCAATTAAGTTGGTGCTTATTTAGGTTATTTCAACTCAGTTGACTATTGATAAATATATAGTTATACAAGAGAGAGAGGTCAAATTCAATTACAACTTATTCGATTCACATCGAATTCAAGCCTAGTGAAAATGCAAAAGACCCAATATGCGTTTTGGGTTTTAAAACAACTAAATCTGCACCATGAAGAGATCATTTGCCTTAGAATCAGAAGTCAAACCAAACAAACAAATAATAACCATATCTCGTCGTATTGATTACGATGTACTAGAATATTTATCACGTTAAAAAATTTTCAGTTTGCTACTATTTCCTTTCCTATCAAAAAAATAAGAATGTCATAAAGACTAGGCCAGACGCAGTCTTGATTATAAAATAGATATAGAATAGCTTACCTTATATACTTACTAAAACTTTCTAGGAGCTTAGAAACTCTAGATCCATCTTTTAAAATTCCAGGGATTCATCATATCCACATTCGACAATGCGGCTGATTAATTTAAAAAATCTCCAAGGCGCTTTCTGAGACATGCTTTCAGTTAAATCATCTGCGATAAAATAACAAAAACTACTATAAATAAAAAATTTTCCAAGGACCTTGAGTGAACACTGCTGAAAGCAACTTTAACCCGATTGCACATTGTCCTTTTGCGCTTGATCTTTCGCGTCTTCAAATATGGATGAGAGCAATCTCACACAATCAGTAAAAAAATTCCACGCAGCTGTACTTGATGGTAATTCTACATCATTAATTGAATCTGTCAGGCAATGTGGCAAAGGTTAAGGCACTTCTAACTTCTACTCAGATCAATGTCGATGAACCAGACGAAGTGAACCGCATTCCACAAATTCATGGCATGATTTTGTAGGATGGCATGACGGCTTTGCTTCAAGCCTGTTACCGTGGAAACGTTGAAATTGCTCAAATTTTGGTTGACTCCGGGGCTAATGTCAACTGGTCTAAACACAAACAGGGGTATACTGCCTTGATGTTCGCGGCTCTTGTAGGGCTACTTATTTATTATTAATTAGTATCATTAGTCTGGAAAACTCGAAATCGTTGAATTTCTCCTGTCTTGTGGTGCCAAAACTGAGGTTACGAATTGCCTGAAGAGGACAGCTGCCGAAATGGCCTCTTTTGTTGGTAAACCCAGGTGATTATGATTGAATTGGACTGTAGGGAATCACTTTGCCACAGCCTTAATTAATACCTTTATTGAGAAAGAAGAACTCTTTCAGTACACTCGAAAGAAGGCTTCCACGAACCTCTATCTTTCAAATGACCTTATTGAGCCTCTTCACAAGTTGGTCACTCGGCTTAACTTCTCACCAGTAAAGGTGAGTTTTGCTGGACTAATCATATGTTCTTTGGTGGTCTATATTTTGACGCAGTGTTAAACGCCTTAAGTGTTCAGCACAGCGGAATTTTGTGGAAATGTTTAGTAAATAATTACATTTCTTCTGAATATTTCCACTTTGTGATATTCCGAGCTCATCCTTTCACCACACTACGCTAACCTACACCAATGTAATCTATTTTACCTCAGTAATGTTGTTTTAATTTGTGCAGACTTTTATGTATCTGTCCTGCACCTCGGGGAAACCACTACTGGACAAGTGGAAAAATGTGTCTTCTGTCTTAGAAGACTTGGCGGGGCAATACTTTACTCCACATCGAACTCACGAACCAATCGCCATTAAACTCCATTTAATTGGCGCCTCCGTCAAGCGAGCCGGAGAATTTGTAGAAAAGGAAATAAATGATGAAGACAAAAAGGCGAACAACGTAATAGTCCTGGAGCCTCTTATCAAACACTTTCTGCGTGGTACCGATCCGCATGGCTTACCAAAGGGCAAGTTTCAGTTATTTAATCTACTGTTAGTTGTTTTCGCCCCTGTAATATGAAATCTGCGAATTTACGCAAATCTGATAATTCATTTTGTCAGAACCCACTGGTACGAAACCAATCGGTGCAGTATTTGGCATTGTTGCGTATTTTTGGCTCCGATTTGCCTTCACAAACGCATCTTTCCTTATTAACTATCATGTGTGAACTCGTATCTCGTATTCATTGTCATCAAGGCCTTGGTGAAGCTCCATCGCTACTTCAGTTTCCTTCACGGAGTCTGCTTTCCTGTGAAAATGAAAAACGAGAATAAATACTCCGTTAGCTCTGCCTGGTCGCTCATGTCGTTTAATTGTCGTACAAAATTTACTAATTTACATTAATTCATTATCCTTGTTTTATCCAAATCTCGTTCATTTTTATTTAAACAACTTCCTAGAATATTCCTCAATCCTGCTATCAAATCGCTGAGGCCTTGGAGGCCAAACCCACCCAATCCATGGGCGTATCCCCTCCCTCGTCCTAAACCTAGGTGTGTCTGGTTGATGTCCAAATGCTCTAATTCCCCCGTGTCCTATGGCTGTATACGAATGTTTAAAAAGCTGTTTAATTGCCATGAAAGCAAGTTAATAACTGTTCATAAGTCTTGTTACGGGTCTTGGCATGCGGCCTCAGATCACACCGTGGCCACTACGTTAAAGTTAGCCCGATCGCGCTGCCATGACACCCACGAGGATGAAACGGACCGCAGAGGGCGAGGCACAACCGTTTACCAGCAGCTCAACCAAGTTGTGTTGTGTGTGTGTCACAGTCGTGCATGTCTAATACACATCAGGTGAGCTAGCTAACGCGCACGTGTGTCTGGATGGCCAGATGGACAAAGCAGATAGTGGTGGTGTGCCGTGAAAAGGGCGACTTGTGGTCTCAGATTGCAACGATCGGGTTAGTAGACGTGAATCAGAACGATTCGCTGCTGTTTATTCTTCAATGCCTCCTTTGCGACCTACACGCGCAACGGCTTCAATATTGTTGACACAGCCGGTAGTGCGCTCACGGCTTGCCCATTTAATTACCTGTTTGTAAAGAGCGTGCATACTTTACAGAGGATTACACAGACTCTCGACTGTTGCATGGAATACATTTTGTTAAGCTTATCAAACTCGAGTCTGATTTTCAGCTAGTCCTAACACCACCATCAGGCGATGCCCAACTCAACTTAATTGTTTCAGATATTTGCAATCCGCTTGCGTTACTCACCGAAACTGCAATACGTTCGGCCTTAGCAGGCTTGCCAGTCTTGACTTCAGGAGCCTGTAGACGCAGTTGTCAGACACCTTCATTAGTCATCGTGAAAACGTCCCTACTAGTGGCCAAATCTCTCAGACATCGATTGTACTGGTTCACGAAATGAAGCAGTTCGCTCCGATTTCTCATGTTTAGATCACATTTGCATCTCAATTGCTCCAACGAACCCCAAATCAATAACTGCAGAAAAATCGATCTTACATTAGGAATCATAGTAAACTAATCGACTCGCCTGTCTCAACGACTCAAGTTGCTTGGAGATCTACACAGGCCATTCGACGCAACTTCAAGGCAATGCCAAGGAGGGTTCTCAACTGAGGACATTCATTTTGTATTCAGTCTATGAGCGTTGGAAAGCCGTGTATTATACTCAGTCGTCCAAATCCCTATTAGCGTGCAATTCCATCACCTGACAAGTCTTGTGAGTCGTGGAAGTCATTTCCCTCAGACATGATTCTAACAGAAGAAAAGTCCGATTCCAGTCCTGTAATTCGATGGTATTCTAATGCTAAGACTTCGTGTGTGTTTCGATCCATTCACGTTTTGCTGGAACCGCCCAATAGAACGCGTGTGTGCGAGGATTAATCTCTCTAGGCTTAGTGCTATCTCCGAGTGCTGTTTTGCTGGACCTCGGTAGCCACACTATAAGGTCACTCAAGAGTACTTAATGCTTCTCCGCAGGACAGGAAGTCTTTCTTCGCAAGTCTCTGGTGTCTTTCGGCCACACAGAATCGACGCTCTGGCGGCAGACGGTGACCCAGGTGGGCAGCGTGGAGCCCGGCGAGGCACCGACTGCCCTCTCAATCCTCGAGAACTGCATCAACGGACTGTCTCCGTTCTCTCGCAGCTGCCCCCGCGAGGGTGTCATTAGCGAGCCCTGCGCCACCTGCTCCGACATGGCTGGCTACTCGGCCGCCGTCAGTGTGAAGTGGTGCTCCCGTTGCCACGAGGTCGCCTATTGCTCGGTTGCGTGTCAAAAAATGCACTGGTTCACCCACAAGAAGTACTGTCCAATTCTTCAGGGTAAGGAATCCCAACTTGGCCAAACTGGGTTGCACGTTGTAGTCTCATCGGCAGTGTGGTGCTACGCGCAATGTGCTCCAATTACCTCAATTTGTAGATAATTGATTACTGATTAGGTAGAAGACGGAGACTGCCTTCAGGGATGATGAGTAAGTCGGTGGTGTGTCGCGAGGCTGTTGACGTAACTTGTACTAGTCCACTACCACTCCCTGTTCATCCACCGAGTTGTCGTGTCCACTGGACATGCAGAGTACTGGGCGATGAAACTCCATCGAAATGAAACGATAGTGAGTACAATTACCGCAAGCGAAACTACTGCCGACTGCCATGGTGTCGTGTGTAACCTTCATGTACCTTACCAAAAAGATTGACTACCTTGTAAGGTCGTGCCAGTCGCTTTTAAATCCATCAAGTGACCAGCTTCATGAGTCCAAAAGTACCGAGATAATTATGAGGGGACCAGAGACGATGGTGGCTCAACTGATAATCAGATTATGTCGTGTACGGCTAACGTGTGCGGGAGTATCTAGGTACGCAAAGCCGCATGGAGGTGACTTCAATGTACTTGATGAGCCTGGCTTGGGACATTTATTACTTGGTTTACTTTAATTATAGAGCATCACAAGTCCGTTTCGGAGAGCGGCGCAAAGAAAGACAAGCCATCGAGTGAGGAGATTTCGAAGATTCAGGAGGAGGTTACGGAGTTCTTGCAACAGCAAAAGCTCCACGGAGTGTGATAATTTTAGTAGTCATTTTAACGTTGTTAGAAGTAAAAGTACGACATTCCCGCCACTTCGCGTCTCCTGTATTTATGGAATGCTAGTTTTAAAGCGGGAAGACGTTCGCACCCAAGGTGTTAAACGACGGTTCGGTGAGTTTTACCATTTAAACGGCTGTGCGGTTGACGCAGTCCATTTAGGCAAAAATCCAGGCACTTTTAGCCCATGAGCAGTTAAACCGTTCCATGAAATCGTATCTGTTTGTGGTAGTGTTACGTTTGCCCGTAGCAATAGAGAATACCACTCAAATAACGGTACCAGATCCCTTGCTGACAGCTAGAACCGACCTTCCCAGGCTAATACCAGAA